CATGTTTCAGTTTCATGAAATACAACCTCTCGCACCATGCAACGCATTGAAGGCGGAAAATTTGTCTAACAGCAATAGATAATCATTACAATGTACATTTTAACTGTAGATAATAATGTAACAAATATTTTGAAGGCTGGGATTTAGATATCCACTTTCTATCCAAATTTCACTGAACTCAATATTAAAATCCTTTCCATCTTTAAAAAACATGCCTTACATCCCCAGATAGCTCAGGATGCACAGATTTGGATTTTACAAAACTGGTAACAGCAACGCCAGCTCTCAACTTTGTATCTACACAGGTAACTCCACTTCCTTAACACTACGTAATAGAGGAACCAAATAGTAGGGATATAACAATGCCTTAGGATAGACTGCCCTCCGGAGGCCAAAATGGAATCTCCTCATGGGACACCACACAACTGGGCACACTTTACACGCTTCTGTTACCAAAAAAGAAAGCCCGCAAAAGCTGTTCCTCACAACAGCTCCTACCTACAGCTGCAATATTTAAAAAAACCAAACCTCACCGACATTTTGTGTGTCCTGCTAGAAACTTCTACTGATGATAATCAATTGCAGTATGTGTCTCAAAAGCAGAAGACCAACATAGTGAGTTCACTACAGCAAGTTGTAAGTTACAAACACATTTCTTAAGAGATAAGCAGAAAAAGTAAGACTCCAATGGTACTTAACAAAAGACTACAGGAGAGTTTTAAGCAATACAGCAGATGAAGAAACATCAAATGAATAAAAAGCACATGCTCTCACTTCCACTAGGAATGGAATCACAGAAACTGTGTATGTCTAGTAAAAGAGTGGACTGAAGTTTTCAAAGTTCAGTTGAGAAATCATGGTAAGTCAGTCAAGCACACAGTCCTACTCAAGAACATCCACATGCAAAAAACCTCAAAACATGTACATATAGCTCAGCGTAAATGCTAGCAGCACAAGATGTAAAACCCAAACGTCTGCTTTTAATCAAGAACAGCAACATAACAGGCATATCAGAAATATGATGGAAGCAAGACAAATAAGCAAGTTATTGATACAAAAGTATATAGGAAAGTCATCAAACTAGATATCAATACATTAACTCATCAAATCAAATATGGATTGAACATTCAAATCTAGGTAAACTCTGTTGTTAGACAATATTATTACCAAGACAATTAAGATGACGGCAGTAGCTACGATATCCAAGGACTATAAGTCCAGCAATGTAACTAATGAAAAACTGTAACTATCAGCAGGCTGGAAAATGTCACACTAAAGACGTCAAGATCACATTTTTATATATTTTTTTTTCATGTAGCAAATCAGGGCCACCCAACTCTGGCTGTGGTCTCCAGGAGCATACAAGATCTGAGTCAAAATGCTATTTTCAAAGACTGGTAACTTTTAATTCTGCAAGAATATTGACCAAGTTTATTAATAAAGAGAACAGTCCACTAATGCAGACTTCCAAAGAAAGCAGCAACGTAAAATAAGAACAAATGTTAAAAAGATGCAATGCTTGATGACAACACTAAGGCTGTATGTGCTGAACTTCAGTATGACTTGAAACACACATGACAAATTTAACGTTTTTTGTGAGGAGGGGGAAGCTAGCATGGATTAAAAGCTACTAGAATTTAAAAGTCAACCTTTGTAAAACCAGCAGTCTGGCTTTAGCAGTCAAATGGAATCTGTCACTGAATGGAAAATTTACCGACAGATCAGAGCGGAGAGGAACAATCTGTAAAAGTGTGTGCAAACGGAACACCACCTTAGGAACAGGTACTGCGCCTGAATAAGGCAAGCAGAGGATCAACACAAAAAGTACAGTGCTCAGAGACGGGAAGGCCACAGAGAAAAAGAATCCCCAAACTCTGAACAAAACCCTAAATCAGTTTTTAGTACCATGCAGCAACTGCAGCAGAACCTCTACAGGCAATTCATAGAAGGTCTTACCCCTGAGAGCAAAACATGAGAGGAGGTTACAGAGGGAAGAGTGACAAACGGCTGGGGCTATCACTCCCTATTTGGAAGGAAATCAAGTCAGACTTGCTTTTGCAAATGATAGTAATATTTGATAAACATTTTAGAGTTCTTCTAAAGACTAAAAAGAGATGAGAGTAAGGAGATCTAATATCAAGCATGCTTGAAATTTTAAAAGGCATCTGACACATTCCCTTGCCAAAAACCATTAAAGATGCTGTGCTGTCAAGAGAAGTTGTCAGATGAGTAAATTGTTTAAAGACAGAAAAGAAAGGGTATCAACCAGCACTCATTCTTCCTAAGGTCATGGATCACAAACAGAAAAACACAAGCACTTATGTAGGGGCTAGCAAAGTACCACCTATTTGTAAGGGTTCCGAGACAGCAATTTCTGAAGCCCACAGTATATTCCAGTAACACTAAGTCACTCAAAGGAAGGAAGGGATAAAGGTATTAAAAAAAATTTGCAGAATCCTTTCACTGGAAAAATAGTTGTTAAAACCAGCAGACTAAATGAGAACAATTCACACTGGGGGAAAATACAAAAAATCAGACCTAAATACATATATAAGGAAATGGGATCCAAGTTGACCATTAATTATTCAGGACTGAGTTACTGTTCTTATATAGCTTCTGAACACGTAAGTGTAAAGGTCAGGAAAAAGTAGAACAGGTATTATTTTTGGAAGCAATATAAACCAAACAGAAAAGGTCCTATTTTTTTAAGATAAATCCACAGTGAATACTGTAAGAGGTTCCACCTCCGCTCCCTCCTTGAGAAACTGGAAAAGGTCACAAATTGCTGAAGGTACAAGAGTCTTCTAAGGAGACATCACCACGCACTTGATCTGCTACCTACCCTGCACATTCACTACTTCCACTGTCTGAGCCATCACCCCAGGCCAGACAGAACCCTAATCTGACAAACAGATGTTACTTCTTAAGAGTAGGTGAACCCAGTAAATGCTGAAACGGATTACTGCTTTTAACTAGTTTTCAGTTCTAATTTACCAGTTTGAAGAAAAAGGGGAAAGAAAGGTCTTTTAAAAATATGACTTTAAGTCTATCAACACTTCAGTCTGGTCCTATTGCCACAGTAGTAATAAAAACACGGTATGTATTGCAACATTTTAAAAAAATTACTTAGCAGCACGCTGAAATTCTTCTGAGGGTATTATTCCAGGTTTTAATCACAAATATAAACTAAAAATGCCATTGTTAATAACTTATTTAACAGTGCTCTTACCCAAAAACCAGGGGATAATAATAATTAGGGCCAGAACTCACCAAGAGGAAATTATTTTTAGTCTCTTAAGCTTGGCTTCTGGTCAAGACATGCCACACAGGCTTTGCCCGTAAAATACTAAGGACAGGTATGGGGAGTAGCCAAGTTACTGACATACTACTTGACTAGTAAAAATGGGAGTACCAGCTGTCCTTCCTCACCTTCAGTGCCCTCAGGAAAAAAAAATCATCTATTCTCTGGCCAATTCCTCCTCCTATCAAAGAGAAACATAATTAGCAATTATATTTTTGGTGCAAAGACACATATGACACATAACTTTGCACAGCAAATAATACCACCTCTCTACAAAGAGATAACAGTAAGATAAGGACTCCTGAAAGGACTACCTTCAGCAGTATTTTATACTCCAAAGTCAGTAACACAACCAACTGTAAATCCCTTTGAATGTACAACCGTTCCTTGTGTTATTTCTCAGTCCATACCTGAGAGAAGATTGAACACACACTGTTCTCTGGCACAAAGACAAAACTTCTCAGCTGCACAAATGAAGAAAATCTCAGACTATAAAGACTCAAAGTTATCATCAGTGAGATCTCTTCTTTCTGTACTTCAGTTTGTGCCAAGACGGGAAGTAATTTCAAAAGCTGAATCAACATCTGGATCATGATGCAATGAACACTAAGAAGTGAAGGTCCTAAACCACATTCATAGTTTTCTTCAGAGATGATAAAAACATCAATTACAAAAAATTACTTGATCTCAATAGAAAAGCCTGAGGTCAAATTTTTGGTAATTTTTCAGCAAGAGAGGAACATTTACAGCTGAATAATTCCTCTGCTTCAAAAGCTTCTTTGAAATAATTATTTTATTGACTATACATACATATTAAAGAGCACCAACATAAAATAGTCAAACTGAGAGTTCCAGAAGATATAGAGCCAAACACCTTGGCTTCACACTTTGGAAGTGACACGTGTTTTCTAAACACCTACTGAGTCAGTGAAAAGTCTTTTATGAGGCAAGGTCTGCAACTGTACTGTTCACCAGTGTATGGGCAGCTCAGAGTATTACAGAACTAGCAATGCCAATGACTAATCAACAGTCCTTCAATACAAACACACAAGTGCTACTGCATTAAATGAGTGCTGTACATACACTCAGGAATGGAACTGAGCAGGTTTTGTCTTCATAAAAACTCATTACATATAATTAAATCTCCTAAAGGCAATTCAGGCATGCTGAAGATCTACAAGCTCCTAGCTTTGTAGTGTTAGCTACAAACAAACAAAACCCAAAGGAAACTCCTTGACACTTTGTAGGGACTAACTGATAAGAATAAAAAAAATTACAGTATGCAATCTTCAGCCTTCATTAAAAACTTGATGCAATCATACCTGCCAAGCAATAAACATGCCTCCGCACTTTACTGACCTTTGTGTAACATGATAATTCAAATAAAATCTCCGCTCTATCCCAAATTGGAAAACATGACTTCATAAAAATACAGTACTTTTAAAATGTACCAGCATGTTATTTAAAACTATCATCATATCAAAACCAGATTTTTTTCCAATTGTTACATGCAAAGACTTCATAATACCAAATGGACTCTCCCAGTAGCTAAACGTACACTCTGGACTTTACCACTGATCAATTTCTCCTCTGGCTAAATAATATCAAGTCAATTACATACATCAATCTTCAACTCCCCTCCCTTTAATTATTATATATTTCTATATTACCATCATGACATTTAAGTAGGTACTTATATTCAAGTCATAAGATGCAAGCCTCCATCTACAATTAGAGTACTCCCAGTAACATAAGGGGACTCTAGAAGAAAGACGACAGCTTGTGCAACTTCATGAGGCTCTCCAAATCTTCCAAGGAGAATTGCTTTCTTCAACTGATCTTCTTCCAAATGAGCAGTCATCTCCGTGTGAATAAAACCTAAGAGAGAAGAGATACTTGAAGAGTTACCTAATCTTCAACTAAATTTCTCTACTGGATTTTCCCTGAAATCCTTCAAAGTGAAATCTACTACCAGCATTCAGCACCAGCTACCATCCCTCAAAGTCTCAGAAATCAGTCCACATCATTTTAGGGCTAAGACCAATTTTTTACCTAACCACCTAACCAGTAAATGTCTTCCAGTTTTGGAAGTACTGATGTAAGAATCAAAATGCAGATATCTATAGAAGTCCATGAAAAAAAAAAAAAAAAAAAAGTAATTCAAATTGCTTCTCCAACCCATATTTAGTACCAAATTTCTAAAAGACAAAATACAGTCATTTCACTAAAACTTTCTCAATAAAAACATGAGTGTGAAATCTCTGGCAAGAAACCCCTAGAGTTTGCAAGTGTTTTCATTATATTTTAGAACTTATGACAGCACTTGCATAATTTCTAGCACAGGACTCATGTGAAGAATATTTCTTGACATTTTTGAAGGATACTTAATCTTCAGTTATCCGAGATTCAGTTTTCCCACTGCTGCACTTCCCTTCACATAAGCTGCAGCTTCATAAAGAGCTGATCTCACCTGCTTTCTTGCTGACACCAAGAAGGGAAAGCCTCAGTTTTGCCTTCCACTGTACAACTCTGCCCCTTTATCATGGCTCTGGACCCCTCAGTGAGCTGCTCAACTCACTAAACGATAAAAAGTATTTTTCCTGCCTAGTTCACAAGCTGAACTGGTTCATGCAGAGGTGTGAAAGGCATGGGAGCTAGCACAAGGTAAGCAGCAGGCTACACAGCTATAAGTGGGAAAAGTCAGAAGGATTTTTCCTTAAGGAAAAGGAAAGGTGGTTTGCTTGAACTAGATTGTCTTGTGAAATCACAGCCTTATCCTCACAGAACTTTCTTTCCAGATTCTCTACTTTTACTACAGGGAAAGACACGGATGCTCTCATGCCAGCTTCTCGTGGTCTTTCATGTTTCTCTAATAACAAATAAGCATTCTTTAGCAGGAGACAAGGGTAGCTGACTGTGTATAATTAGTTCTAATCCTTCCATCTGCAAGGACAGCAGGTTTTGAGGGAGGAACAAAGAAAAAAAAAAAGACATTTATTACGTAATAATGGACAGAAGAACAGGTAGACACCGTCTCCCAAACTTTTCAGTGTTCCTTTAAAAAGACTGAAGGTTTTAATGTATTGTAAACTGTAAAAAAAGTAACATTTACTTAGAGAAGTTGAAGAAAATAATAGCAATTTGTCTTAAGTTACTTTCAGACTACAGCAAATATCCAGCACTCTTGATATTACAACAGTCAAGGATGTAGGAACTTCTGAAAAACTAACCTGGAGCAACCACGTTGACTCGAATTTGCTTTTTTGCTACTTCTTTAGCAAGAGAGCGTGAAAATCCAACTAATCCTGCTTTGGTAGCACTGTAAACACTCTGACCAGAATTGCCTTTAAGTCCTACAATACTTCCTAAAATAAAGAAACATCAAAGAGAAGATTAAATGCCTAATTTGAAATCTTGTACTAGCTTTATAATTTTAGTTTTAAATTTTGAATGGATAATGAGATTACAAGAAAAGAATTAAAAGTATATTGCTAAATGTACTTTCTAGCCTACTGCTGGGATAAGCAAATCCCTCAATTATCTGTGACTTTTCTGGAATCCAATCTACGTTAACCAAGGAAACCAATTGTCCCTATTTGATTCTGAATTAATACGTAGCAGTTGGTAGATTTAGCTACTGAAAGAGCTGATAAATAATGGCAAAATTATTTTTTCAATAAAATATAAACTCTGAGATGTTTATTAGTGAAACAAGCTGGTTTACAATTAGAAGTTGCTGAAATGACACAAAATAATAGGCATTCATAAAGAAATACTAAATACAGAATGTCTAAATATAAAGAAAATAGTCAATTGTAACACGTAACATTTCAACAGGTTACACTTGTTAAACCTTTTCAGAAAACTATTACATAGAACTACACGGGCTTAGACAAGCAACTTACCTATATTGACAATAGCACCTCCTTGTTGTTGAATCATGCTTTTTACAGCAGCTTTGCATGTCAACATTGTCCCCAAAAGGTTAGTGTGAATCTGGGCTATCATATCTTCAGTCTTGGTTCTCAGTAACAAGCCATCCCTGACAAACAGAGCAAAAAAACCCAAAAGAAGTCACTGAACAATCTCAATGATCCCATTTACTCACAATAAAACATGAGTGATGAATGGAATATTAATGGGGATTTATGTGGTTCTACACATTCTAGCATTCAAAATAATTTCATTGTAAAGATGACACATAGCAAGTAAAACGTTAGGTATCCTTCTGGCAACAAAGCCTCCTTTGCTGACAGGTATCAAACATCGTTTTGGACCATTGCAGGGGCAAGTGGAAGAAAGAGGAGTAGAAGGGGAACTCAAAAACTCAGAATGCAGGAACTACAGTGAAAGCTGTATCACCTGTTATAATTTTACCTTCACCAGGAACAAAATATTGGTCTGCACTTAATTCTCTTTTCAGATGTACTCATTAACAATACTCTTACCAAACGCAAAGGCCCTTGGCAACTCACATGAAGATGCTTTAATCTAGAGTCACACACAACCTTGTGACGAATAACTAACCTGTTGATCCCAGCTGCATTAACCAAGTAGTTAACAGGACCTAAATTCTTCTGCATCTCCTCAAAAGTGTTTTGGACTTCTTGTTCGCTGGATACATCACAGCTAAGTGCCAGATGTCCTGCTGTATTGAAATAAAGGCACATCATCATAAAAGATGGCATACCATTCATAAACCTTCTTCAGAATTTATCAAGTCAATTGCTAAAACAGATGCTGAACTAGTTGTAACATGAGGGACCCATTTAATGTCCAGAGAATAAGGAAAATTTTCAAGTATCGTGCTGATTAGTTATCGGACAATTTCTTGTTTTATATTTTGGCCTTTTGAAATCACAATTTCAGCCTGAGCAGACTGGTCTCAGTTCTGGCTTGGTCAGGAGCCAACGATGACTCAATTCATACCACCTCCCTCTTGTGACGTTGAACAATTCCTTTCATCTTACTTAGTCTATCTGCAAGATATGAACTGTAAGGTACTTAACCTTTCCAAAGAATATTGTGAAAATTGTACTGATATAGCTTTTCTTTCAAATTTCTCGACCTTTACTTTCATTTTCATCTAGTTAAACAATTAGGGTTTTTTTTTACTGACTTACTACTTCTACAAGCCACCTAAGCATGGGACAGTGAAGCAAGTATTGCAAAGCAGCATACATACCACCAAGATTACGTGCAGTGGTCTGGGCTACTTCCAGGTTTCTAGCAATAATGGCCAGGCGGCAGCCTCTCTGTGCCAGTACTTCTGCAACAGCTTTTCCTATTCCTCGGGATCCTCCAAAAATGGCACAAACCTTGCCCATCTTCAAAAATATTTCACAAATTGCAAATAAACTATGAATTTCAGGTCCAACATAACAGAGAACAATCACTGTTCTTGTCAACATCACAGCCCTTACTAATCTGTAGCATTTTGTAATAGCAGATTACAGAATTAGTGATTTGTTAATTTTTTATTCATCAGAAAATAAATCCTTGAACTAATTCAGACACCACTTCTACAAATACAAGTTAATACTTCATGATTTCTGAACTAAGTAAAAAATTATGCATGTAATCTAGCCTTTCAATTCTAGTGTTATGATAACTCCTATTCAGTTGATGAAATACGTGACATGTACCTAAAGGCCATAATGTATCATTCAGCTCAGTGCAGTAGTTGTAACTGCATTGTTCTCGCAAGCACTGTCCTCAAACTGAAGTCATTCAGCCTCAAGCTCCCACTCCATCCTGAGTATCTGGGTTGGACATCCACGTTGCAAACATTACTAGGCATGATTCGGTACTATTGTATTCACACTAGTTTAACACTAAATTACACTGTACTATGTTATGTTTTAATACTATGTTTTACCACTAGCCTTAGGTTATTTTGTTTCTGCTTTTGAAGAAAAAAAAAAAAGCTTTTTGAAATGTGAAATGATTGTGAAGCAGCTAGCTGAGACATTTAGGAAGGAGTATAAGAAGAAAGTACTTCTGTAGGATGACCTTTTATTCCACAACCTCTAGAAACCAATCAGCTGTTTTGGGATTTCCTGAGGAGCCACAGGTAGAATCCAAGCAATAGTAATGAACCTCTTTTCCATACATTTGAATAAATCCATTTGGAACCTAATTAAACTTTGTCTCCATAACATCCTGAGGCAACAAGTTTCATTATTTGTGTTCTTAATTTGCTTCCTGACTGGGGGATACTATGCATTTCTCTCCACATCTTCTCCTTACTGTTTGTACCTTCAGAGGTTACTCCTCTGCTTTCTACCCTCCTCCTATATCCTCTTTCAGGTCCATTTAGTTACCCTTATACCCATGAAAACCATTTTGTATCTCACTAAAGACTGTCCAAGCTCTTAATTCTGCCACCCTACCCATTGCCTTACCTAGGTCTATCACACCCTTTTTGATGCGTGATGACCAGAAAACCACACAGTATTCGGCGTACAAGGGCACCATCAACTTGTACAATGGCACACTGATGTTGGTGTTCTGTAACAGGGCCTGAAAGAGTAGCCAGACCTCTTCTGCAACAGAAAGTGAACTCATACGCCTGAAATCAACTCATGTATCTGCTTCCACTAGCAAGTTTACATTGTCTTCCTAGGAACAGGAAGATTAAATATTTGCAACTCAGGTGGTGGCCCTTTTGAAAGAACACGTGCAGAAAATGTCCTGCATGAAGGCAATTCTTTAGTCATAAAAACAGACGCTGCTGCTCCACTGGAAACACTAATCTTTTGGGTAGTCTTCATTAGTTAGTTGGACTGCAAGAGATGAATCAAGAAGTCTCAAATCCCAGTAAGTACATGTCTTGAGGTCTTAGCAGACTAAAGGCATAACCAACCAACCCATGTTTTGATAACAGATTTTTTTGTTAGAATCAAAGTCTCAGTCTGCTTTCTCCATCATGACTGATCTCTTCTTTTACAGAATTAGCCACAAAGATTCTTGAAAGTTCTTGACTACTTGTTGCAGCAATACTGCACTAGGATTTTTTCCTCCATTTCCTCCCCCATATCTTGTCCTTACCAGCACTGAGCATACCTACTCTCTTTACTTTAACACGGAATAATATAGATTAGAAGAGAAGTTTTAGAAATAGAATTAGAATTAGAAGAGACTCTGGAAGTCATCTTGTCTGACTCCTCCACCCCTAAGCAATGGCAAGTGAACCATGTAAAACAATTTATAAATGGTGTGAGATCTATATGTATGCTCTTTTCCAAATAATTCCGGACATGCTCAGCTACAGAGGAACCAAAAAGCTGCCTGTGGGGAGAGAACTTCTTTAAAATGTATTGATCTGCCCTTCCTGCTCTCTATGACAAGGGAAAAATATTGGTGATTCTACTGCTCCGAGGAAGAACAGTGGAAGTCCCTTGTGCATTAACCAGGTACTTATGGGAGGCGGACAAAACCTATTTCCACACAGCAATGTACAATTTGTGTTTTAGCACAAAAAAGCCTTTTTTTGGAGATTCTTTGGAGTTGTGACCTGGGAGAAAAAAATTGCAGCAGGAAGAATAACCCTATAGTCCCTGGCCAAACAAAGCCAGGAAAAAACAAATATCTTCTGCGCAAGAGGCTCTTCCAGGTCACCACACAGCTCGCATAAGCGCCTGTGCCACCTTCGCCCTCTGCGGCCCTTCGCTTCTCTCAGCCCGCGACCCCCGGGGCTCCGACGGCAGCTGCGAACCGCCCCCCG